CACAGGAATGGGTTCAATTCCAGACCTGAAGTGCAGTTAGGGGCCACAGTCTCAGGGGTTCCACCAGGCTCTATCAGACAAGCAAACCTTTTTTTCTTTTCTTTTTTTTTTTTTTTTATGATTTTGAGTTTTGTTCCACATTGTTCTCCCTCTCTATCCTGGATCTCCTACATAGATTCCCCTTCGAGTGGTTGACAGTGATAGTCAGGCACCATCTAGTTCTTATGGTCTCGTAATCATATAGGCTGAGGATCACATGGTGTACCAGTCCCTTGGACTAATTGTTTCTATGTGTCTTTGATTTTCTTCATTCTTCTTTGTTCTGGACGCAGAGAGACCCATCATTGCAGCTAGATGGCTGATTGCAGGCTTTTAAGATCCCAGTTGCTACTTGTCAAAGTAGGATATGGAACAATGTTTTTGTGTAATATATTATGCCAATTGAGCTTGATGTTCCCTGCGACCATGGTCCTGAGCCTGCAGGTCTGAGGGAATGGAGTCTATGGGAAAAAAAAGCCTCATTGTGTTTGGAGAAAGGAACCTTTTGCTTAGGGGCAGGAGAGGTAAACTTGTGGGTCATGACTATTTTTATGAAGTAATTCACTAAACTGCTACACACCGAGGATGATGCTATATCAGTGAGGAGTACAAACAATATAAAACCCAACCATGGTGGCTTCACCATTTTTTTTTTTTAACTTCTCATGTGACAATGACAGGTATTGATTCAGTGACACTATGGTAATAGGGTTAACATCTGGGATTAACTTGGTCTTTTCTCATGGTTGCAAGGTGGTTGCTACAGCTCCAGGCATCATGCCTAGGTCCAAGGCAGGGAGAAGGGGGAAAGGGAAATTCATCAGTGATTTTTGCATCTCTTAAGAGCTCTGGTGGCATAGTACCTAAGGCATTTGACTGCTAATCAGAAGGCTGGCAGTTCAAACCCACCAGCCACTCCCCGGAAGGAAGATGGGGCAATCTACTTCCGTAGAGATACCACCTCAGAAACCCAAGGAGGGATCGTTATGAGTTGGATCCAACTCTGTGGTAGTGAGTTTTTTTGTTTTTTTTTTTTGGTATGAAAAAAGCAAAAGTCACTCCAGGAGCTTCCTAGCAGACTTCAGTTGAGTCATGTGGCCCTTCACTAGCTGGAAGGCAGGCTGGGAAAAGAAGTATGTCACTTTTCTAGTCTCTATAGTACAGGTAGTCTAGGGGGAAGTAGGGTGGTATAAGTATGGGTTAGCCAACAGCCAGCTTCTGCTACATTTTTGGGGGGTTAAGTACAGGTGGCCACATTCTTGGTTCCTTCACTCTAAGCCTCATATCTGGAACCCTTTTTGCCTCCTTCATTCTCTTCTCTGTGGCAGCTGCACAAGGGCCACAGGCTTGGCAGGAACAAGAAACCAGGTATGGTGAGATGGAATTTGTATGGCTTTTATATGGCCTTTCTAGCCATGGTCTTGTAAATCTCACCAAATGATCAGGTGGGACTATGCAAATAAGGTACTTTTGGCCCACCTAAGGGATTGGACAGCTGGCTAATAATACAAATAAGGTGCATGGCAGCTTTGTGGGCATGGGGTGGGGGCATACAAATAAGGTGTATGAAACTCTAATGAGGGAATTTGTCAGTTTTGCTGTTATGCAATGCTTAAAATGAGCTATCCCAGAGGCAGACAGGGGGAACTCACTACACCAAGAAGAAGGCTGAGAGTGGAGTGTGTCCTTTGGACCCAGTGTCCCTGTGCTGAGAACCTCCTAGACACAGGAGAGAGCTGTAACACCAGAGAGGGCATGAGACAGTGAGAAGCAAATGCAGCAGAACCAGAAGGTCAGTGCAAGTGGGCACAATGAGGTTCCCAGCCCATGGGAACAAGGCAGTTACAGTATGCTTGCTGACCCAGGCAGTGAGAGAGCTGAATGTCTTTGGGCAGGAGGCTTTCTAGTGGAGTGGGGTGCTCTGAGCACTTATTCGGGAGCTAAACAGCTTCATAACACTTGCTTGAGCAGAGCAGAGTCCAGCCCAAGGGGGCCAGGGGCCAAGTGTGAGAGGCTTGCAGGCACAACTGAGAAGGTGTCCTGGCTTAAGAACTGTATCCTGAGTTGTTCCTGATCCTGAATTGTAACTTGTTACTTCCCTAATAAACCCTGAAATTATGAGTATGGTTTGTGAGCTCTGCGTGGCCTTTGCAATGAATTATCAAAGCCAGCAGAGGAATAGAGAGTGCCACGGGAGGGATGGCTGGT